CTACGCTCGTCCTACAGTTAGTCTACGCTCGTCCTACAGTAAGCCTCCGCTCATCCTACAGTTAGCCAAGACTCGTCTTACATTTAGCATATGCTCACCTTACATTTAGCCTAAACTCATCCTACATTTAGCCTACACTCATCCTACAGGTTAGCCTACAGTTTGTCCTACTTAGCTACATCTCCTACAGTTAGCCTACACTCATCCTACAGTTAGCCTACACTCGTCCTACAGTTAGCCTACACTATCCTACATTAGCCTACACTCATCCTACAGTTAGTCTACACTCATCCCACACGGATAGCCTACACTCCCTACAGTTAGCCTACACCTCATGCTACAGTTAGCCTACACTCATCCCACAGTTAGTATACACCTCATCTTACAGTTAGCCTACAACTACACTCATCCTACAGTTTAGCCTACACTCATCCTACAGTTAGCCTACACTCATCCTACAGTTAGCCTACACTCATCCCACATTTAGCCTACATCCTACATTTAGCCTACACTCGTCCTACAGTTAGCCTACACTCATCCTACATTTGCCTACCATCATCCTACAGTTAGTCTACACTCATCCTACAGTTAGCCTACACCAATCCTACAGTTAGTCTACTCTCGTCCTACACTTAGCCCACACTCGCCTTACAGTTAGTCTACGCTCATCCTACAGTTAGCCTACACTCATCCTACAGTAAGCCTACATTCGTCCTACAGTTAACCAAGACTCGTCTTACATTTAGCCTACACTCATCCTACAGTTAGCCTACACTCATCCTACATTTAGCCTACACTCGTCCTACAGTTAGTCTACACTCATCCTACATTTAGCCTACACCCATCCTACATTTAGCCTACCCTCATCCTACAGTTAGCCTATACTCAACCTACATTTAGCCTACACTCGTCCTACAGTTAGCCTACACTCATCCTACAGTTAGTCTACGCTCACCTTACATTTAGCCTACACTCATCCTACAGTTAGGCTACACTCATCCTACAGTTAGCCTACACTCATCCTACAGTTAGCCTACACTCATCCTACAGTTAGTCTACACTCGCCTTACGACTCGTCACCCAATGATACAGTCATCCTACAGTTCCAATACTCCATTTCATGTCACCCACCAATATCTACGATCGTTTCATTATTTGATACATGTCACGGCGTATAGACAATCATCACACAATCATTGACGATCGTATTTCACAGAGCGGAAACAAAAACAAATTGCAGTCTGGGCAAAGCTGAAAAGGGAATCAAATAACAACGAGTCGAGTCTCATTCTGTGACGTGAACGGGTATCATGGCATTATGTCGCTTTTAGCAATATCATGGCGAAAGACACCACAAATGGGGTTCTCATTCTGTTGATGAAATTACAGCAAAACGACAAACACTTCGGTTAGATGCATCCTTTGGAGGCTCATCCCGAGGGGAAGAGCGTTGGTTTACTGTATTGCACCGTGACAAACCTGCCACCTGTATCTTGTAACAGGAATACAGAGCTAGACCGAGTCAGATAAAGTACTGTTACTTTAAGTTCGGAACAAAGGTGAGCAGGTGAGTGAGATTATCAGTGGGTTTAACTGGTCAAACTTCGCGTGGTGGATGGAAGAGATTTTACGTGAACCTCAAATTGTGCTTCTCTCCCCAACGCATGTTGAGAGGTAATTGTATCCACCTCTGGGGAGTTTGGGTACGTTACTGTGGAGGGTTGAAGTATCATACTGTGGAGGGTTGTAGTATCATACTGTGGAGGGTTGTAGTATCATACTGTGGAGGGTTGTAGTATCATCCTGTGGAGGGTTGAAGTATCATACTGTGGAGGGTTGTAGTATCATCCTGTGAAGGGTTGTAGTATCATCCTGTGGAGGGTTGTAGTATCATCCTGTGGAGTGTTGTAGTATCATACTGTGGAGGGTTGTAATATCATCCTGTGGAGGGTTGTAGTATCATCCTGTGGAGTGTTGTAGTATCATACTGTGGAGGGTGCTAATATCATCATGTGGAGGGTTGTAATATCATCCGGTGTAGGGTCATCCAGTGGGGAGTATCATCCTGTGGAGGTTGTAGTGTGTGTATCATCCTGTGGAGGGTCCCTAAGGAGGGTTGCAGTAACATCCAGTAGTATCATCCTGTGGGGGTTGTAGTATGATCATGTGGAGGGTTGTAATATCATCCTGTGGAGGGTTGTAATATCATCCAGTATCATCCAGTGGGGGTTGTATGATCCAGTGGGGGTATCATCCTAAGGAGGGTTGTAATATCATCATGGAGGGTTGTAATATCATCCTAAGGAGGGTTGTAATGATCCTGTGGAGGATTGTAATATCATCATGTGTGGGGAGGGCTGTATCATCCAGTGGGGAGTTGATATGATCCTGTGGGGGTTGTGGAGTATGATCCTGTGGAGGTTGTTATATCATCCTGTGGAGGGTTGTAATATCATCCCTAAGGAGGGTTGCAGTAACATCCAGTGGGGAGAGGTTGTAATATATCCTGTGGATCCATCCTGGGGGTTGTAGTGGGGAGTTGATCCTGTGGAGGGTTGTAATATCATCCTGTGGAGGGTTGTAATATGATCCTGTGGAGGATTGTAATATCATCATGTGGAGGGTTGTAATATGATCCTGTGGAGGGTTGTAACATCATCCTGTGGAGGGTTGTAGTATCATGCTGTGGAGGGTTGTAATATCATCCTGTGGAGGGTTGTAATATGATCCTGTGGAGGGTTGTAATATCATCCTGTGGAGGGTTGTAATATCACCCTGTGGAGGGTTGTAATATCATCCTGTGGAGGGTTGTAGTATCATGCTGTGGTGGGTTGTAAAATCATCCTGTGGTGGGTTGTAAAATCATCCTGTGGTGAGTTGTAATATCATCCTGTGGAGGCTAATAGTATCATCCTGTGGAGGGTTGTAATATCATACTGTGGAGGCTAATAGTATCATCCTGTTGAGGGTAATAGTTTCATCCTGCGGAGGGTTGTAGTATCATACTGTGGAGGGTTGTAATATCATCCTAAGGAGGGTTGTAGTATCATCCTGCGGAGGGTTGTAGTATGATCCTGTGGTAGGTTGTAGTATGATCCTGTGGAGCGTTGTAATATCATCCTGTGGAGGGTTGTAGTATGATCCTGTGGAGCGTTGTAGTATCATCCTGTGGAGGGTTGTAGTATCATGCCGTGGAGGGTTGGAGTATGATCCTGTGGAGCGTTGTAATATCATCCTGTGGAGGGTTGTAGCGTTGTCCTGTGGGCGTATCATCCTGTGGAGGGTTGTAGTATCATCCTGTGGAGGGTTGGAGTATGATCCTCATTGTAATGTCATCCTGTGGAGCGTTGTAATATCATCCTGTGGAGGGTATGATCCTGTTGAGGGTTGCGGAGGGTTGTAGTATCATCATCCTGTGGAGGGTTGTAGTATCATGCCGGAGGGTTGGGTATGAGTCCTGTGATCCTGTGGAGTGGAGCGTTGTAATATCATCCCGTGGAGGGTTGGAGTATGATCCTGTGGAGCGTTGTAATATCATCCTGTGGAGGGTTGTAGTATGATCCTGTGGAGCGTTGTAATATCATCCTGTGGAGGGTTGTAGTATCATGCCGTGGAGGGTTGGAGTATGATCCTGTGGAGCGTTGTAATATCATCCTGTGGAGCGTTGTAATATCATCCTGTGGAGGGTTGTAGTATGAGCATGTGCAGGGTTGCAGTATTCTCTGAAATGCCGCCGTGTCATATGTCATATTTTCACTTACATATGAATCCATAGAAATGAAACCCTTTTCCCTCTTCGTGTAATTTCTTGATTAGTCGGTATATAATTTGAAATGCATATACAAAATTGTTCACATTGGTAAATATTATATCATCAAAATCACTTATAAATTAGAAATGCCCGAATTTAAGTTGAGTGCAAGATTTTTAATTGGATACAAAAGTATATAATGCCATCTGTACAATCCCTGTTTAAACATGCGGAAACCTACAGAGATATTAGAAGTTTGTATATGTTCTAGTATTAGCATATTTACCAATTAATAGGCAAAGCAAATACAAGCATCATTTGTATAACAGTATATTTGAAATTTTAATCCATCTTTTCGGAACATCCTTATCCACTAAACATACACATCACTGACATTGTACAAATACTTCGTGGTTTAATGGTGATTAAACCATAAATACATAAAGAGAATTTATTAAAGCTGTTCAAGGTGGCCATGTCTGATACGTCATCCCGAGTAGAAAAGTAATTTGGATTCTATTTTTGTGGGCATGATTAGATTTCCACAGTGACTATAGTCCTCATACGTCCAATTATTCGAGGAATGAGTTGCGTGTGTCACGATATTACCTTTGATGGTAATTCTATACACCACTGACAGCAGACAAACTGGTTTAATATCTTTAAGCTAAACTGACGTTCAAAAGAAAGTACACACCCGACTCTTTGGAAAAATAGTTTTTTAAAACAGCATTAATATGTAAAAGGTCTTTTGATTCGGCTTTCTCACAAACATTGTGCAAGTGTTTCCAAAACACCACAGATATCGTAACCAATTGCAACATTGCTAGCAACATATTTATGGTTTTCTTGGGAATAGTCCCAAAACACCAGGTGTGTACTTTTTTATGTACGTCAGTATAGTTGTTTTCATTATGTTTGGGATTAGGGGAAGATTTGTGCCTTCTTCATCACTGAGATTAAAGACATACATGGATACGTTCCCGGGGACTTGATCTTAATGAGTGTGTGAGTGAATTTATTTTTACGCCGCTGTTATAATATTCCAGTGATATCACGGTAAGGGGCACCAGAAATGGGCTTCACACATTGTACCGGGTCTGCGGCGTTATGGGCGAACGCTTCGACCACTAGGCTACCCTACCAGCCCGGGCGTAATCTGATGCGCATGTGTGAATGGCTGTATAAACATCAACAGAAGGAATGATCACACTCGAATTAGCCCTCACACCCAAACACTCTCACGCACACTACCAGTCGCTCGCTCTCACTCAAATACATCGACTCTCTCGCAAGGTACAATATTGAAGTAAAACTTGATGTCGATATCCTCAGTCCTACGTTCACTGATAGTGTCTGCGCAATAAAATGCCCGCCACCTATGGCTGGATTCGAACCCGGACTTTGTGATCGGAGGACGGTTGCCTTGTCACATGAACTAAAAGATTGATGCCGTCAAACTAGCAAAGTAAGGTTATTGTTGTTGTTGATGATGATGATGATGATGATGGTGATGATGATTTAACTTGCGCTTTCCGACATAATGTGTGTTTTGCACACGGTGTAAAGTTGTAATTGCCCGCATGATTATATCGGAGTAAGCGAGTAATTTTGAAGTCCAGTTGTACACTTCTTTCAACGTACATTGGACCACCAGGACCCATCCGTGTGTCAGTAATGACTGAGTTGTAGACAGTGAGGCTGCCTTCAAACATTAACAGTGTATTGTACTGTCCAGACGCCGTCAACATCACACACTCAAGATGAAATATGAACGGCAATTCTGTCACTGTGTCACGTCGGCTCATTGGATGCCTTCCATACCATGCAGGAAAGAGATACAGTACTTCGAGTGATCACAGCTATATACACAAATGATGGATTGGCACATCTAGTTGTGGCGGATATACTGCTATTGTTCCCGATAATTATTTGAAAGTCATCGATATGTTACTGTTCAGCCAAAAGAAACCAAAAGAATGAAAACAAAACAGAATGTTTTTTTGTGTGGACTGCGGCAGGGCAGCTATATAAGCCCATGCCTATCTACCATTGGGGCACATTTACTTGAGCCGGCGTTTGAATCATGTACACGTCAATAACTACCCTCGCCATCGTCTACACAGTCAACATTCTGTCGACAGGAGCGAACCACCATGGACCTGGTGAGCCAATATCACACACGACAATAGAGCACTGTTTTAAAGGTCGCTCGCCAGTTGATTATGGAGATAGGAATAATGTAAACGAAGCATGACAATGCGACATTTTTGCCATTTGTTGCCCTTTCTATGATTCCAGTGAACAGAGATATTTCCCATGGTCCTATTGCTTGAATCAGGATTCTAGTGTTGATTTTGTAAACGCAAGGGTAATACTTAATTTTCTCATTGCCTTTATCAGTTTGCATTTATAGTAACTGCCTATTTGTCTCGGGAATTTTACAACCTGATAATCAGTGAATCAAGGACAGCCCCGTGGTTTAAATTTAATTAATATCCTTTTCATGCGTTGAAAAATAGTATTTCTTCTCTGATAATTCTATCGCAGTTCTATGACCCTATGATGGGGAACTGTAATTGAAAGAAACAATATTTAGCCTGAGTGAGTGAGTGTGTGAGTTAATATTATCATCACATCGGCAATATTTCAGCCATATCGTGCCGAGAACAATTAATACTTAGATTATAGATCAATGAATTTAGAAATGTAAAGCCTGTTGACGAAAAACAGTAAAACTACTAGTATATCACAGATATCCATTTAAAACTAGTAATTAAATCTATAACGTTTTAACTAGAAATGACAAGACAATGTGAAAACAGGCTATAGATCGCCAACAACTGAAGGTAGATCACCATACTAGGGACCATGGGGACTTACGGTACATTTGCTTCCTGCATGGACCCTAGCTGGATTTACACCATCCCTTCAGCCGTTAGCAGTTTAGACACATTTAGCCATACATTAAAAAGACACATATTCTACGATTAAAAAGGTTGGATAGATTTTAATTTACTTTCAATGTTTTGGGACTTACGTACCCTCTCAGGAGGACACTAATTTTACAATACTTCAACCGCCTTTGAGGGCACAGCCAATAACAATCTCAGTTACTAATCTAAACTACCAAGAATAACATATGTATCTATTTACAAACCACTTATCAAAATGTATCTTATAATTCTATTTCTTTTAAAAATGCAATAACTAAATGATAATTAACATTAAAAAGATCCTTCAGTGTTTTGACATTGAAATATTTATTCCTTGGGGTGGAAAAATCAATACAGTCGAGCAGGACATGCTTGACCTTCGACGACCCTGAATTATTAGGGATATCGTATCTGTCACAAGGGAAAACAGATCATAGATTTTGCTGTCTACATTTTAACGTTTTTATGAAACCTTTGACGACAAGAGACAGAGATGGAAACATGGATTATCTCCCTTGTCGTTGACAGACACGTGCGATGTCGAAGGCTGCGTGAATGGCGTGTGTGTCCTTCCTCCAGTTTCAGCCGCCCCCATGTGCAGCTGCAACATCGGCTTCCAGGTGTCCCTCACCGACCCCAACATATGCCTCGGTGCGTTACATTACAATCTTTCATTTGAACCGATAAAACATTAAATAATTCAACAGCATGAGGAGTTATGTTCAGTTAACAATTTTGGGCAGTCCGAATGTTCCACAAGGTGCTTCATACAATCTAAAGTACTTTGATGTGCTTTCCTACCAAAATAATGAGTGAATGACAAAAGGGATTTCATTTACCGTTATATTGATAATTTCAAGTAAATCTTGGGTATTTGTTTTTGCAGATATTGACGAGTGTACCCTCAATACGTCAATCTGTGGGGTCAGTTTTGACCCCTTCCTCGGCCTCGTGATCCCGAGTGGGAGGTGTGTGGATACAGCAGGTTCATTCTACTGCCAGTGCAACCCCACTGTAGCCGTGCCATCTTTAGACAACAAAACCTGCATATGTGAGTAATCTCACATTACCTCACATTATGTTTACCCCCTCCTCACCCTTCCTCCTCTAAACCCCACCCTAATACAATACTATGTTCCTTAAGGAAACAGGTTTAGATTTTGCAGCGGTTCTTAATCGTCCCGTCATACAAGGGCCCCTTTCAAATTATCCGAGGTTGTTGAGAGAATAAGCATGTCAGAGGCGGATGCAGCGTTTTGAGAAAAATGTGTGTGTGTGTGTGTGCGCGTGTGTACAGTTCATCTTCACCCGTTTTCACGGGTTTCAGTGGTCATTTCATAAACTTTCAGGACAAAAGTGGGTGGTGGGCTGGAGTGGTGGTAGGGGTGTGGTGGTGGTGGTGGTGGTACGCACCCCCGCACATAAAAAAAACCTCCTCCCATCCCCCCACCCCTACCCTGGATCCGCCTATGCTAGTTCAGTGCCTCGCTCTGGTTTTCACAGAAGCCACTGGAACCAACATAATTCGCTATTCGGGATTCGATCCCGCACTCTCATAGCCAGGCACCAAATCACCAGGACACGAAACAACTAGCCACAGCGGTTTCCACCAAAATGAAAGTCCGACAACTGGTGGTAAAGATCAGGTTATCTCTCACAGCCGCGCTTATTTACACTTGTGACAGGGGGGTACATGGATTACTGTACTTCTATATTTGTCATTCGATTGTTTTACAGCCACATCATTTCAGCAGCAGCAGCAGCAACAGCAACAACAACAACAGCAATCCATCTTACAAAGCCTGCTTAACCTGATCCTGTTGGCCCAGATATTTGGATTATAACAACAAAATATATTTGTGTCTAAAAGTGTAAATATTCCAATGCTCTGTTGTAAATGGTGAAATTCAGAATTTATAATACAATATAGTATACCTGAAAAGATATTGTGATTTGTTTTCAAATTGCCGTATTATTGCATTGGATTATCACAGCAGAACTGGGTATCCTGTGTTGATAATAAATCTAGAATTTCCAGAAAAATAGCGCACATGCCATTTTGAAGAAATGTCACGTTAAACCAAGAGCGTCATTTAAGGAATGACACGAACCCTTTGTGAACTGGTTTATGGCGGGGATATACAACTGGAATTCTTGACTTATTCTCCACAAGAAAGGTCAAAAGAGAAAATGAACATGCCGAATGTCTTTCGGATTGGTAGAATGGAAAACGGAATTGGCGTAAAACCCAGTTGACAGATTTCTGAAAGAATGCAGCTAAAATTATTGACACTTCGGTTTAAATGCATCGATCATGTGTAGAAGACAGACCCAGATTCGTCAAGGGCGAAAAGAAGACGAACCTGTTAAAAATCTATCAGACTATCGTATGATGATATTATTGGGGGAATTCACAAGAGAGGTAACAGAATAGGAACAAACCATTCTGTCCATCAACAAAAGTCTGGCTGCCCTACATGAAAGGTTTGTAGGTGATCTACTGGCATGGTCACTGGTAATGTCGTTATAGGTAAGCATCACCACATTAATTGTGTGACGATAGAAGTTGGCATCCAGTAATGACACATATACGGCCAGGGTGCTGTTTGAGGAAAAGGCCTATTGGGGAACAGATCAAAGAATCAGCATTATCTGGCAGGAGAGTGGGTTAAACCAAGATTCCTTCAACAACATCACACGCTTAAGATTCCTTCAACAACATCACACGCTTAAGATATCTCTCCATGCCGACCTGTAACTGATATCACAAAGGTAAATGTGTAGCATAATGACTTACAGATAAAACTATGTGGTGTTCGTTGAATAGTGAGTGAGTGAGTTTAGTTTTACGCCGCAATATCACGGCGGGGGACACAAGAAATGGGCTTCACACATTGTACCCATGTGGGGAATCGAACCGGGTCTTCGGCGTGACGAGCGAACACTTTAACAACTAGGCTACCCCGCCGGTCCTGTTCGTTGAATAAATCAGGACAACTAAATCGTGTACTCAGTACGCGTCCCTTTTCACCTCTGACACATCTACTTCTACGATATCTGACCGGGCCTTCTCGGTTCGCAGTCCCCAGCTATGGAACTCTGCCATCTGAACTAAGAAACACCAATTCCAAGACTTTTAAGTTTCATGTCTCTCCTTAAAACCATCTATTCCGCTCAGCATTCCACTAGACTTTCAGGATTGTGAGCATATATGTGCACGGATTGGTTTTAACTTTGTCAATGAGCACCCATCGATTGATACTAGGCGCTTTAGAAATCAATTATTATTATTATTATCATTTTTTCAGAATTACATTTTTTTTGGAAGGCTACCCTTCACAATCGCAGATAATATACAATCATGTATCTTCAACTGTTACAAGCGTCATGTACTGATTGAGTTTGGTTTTACGCCGCTTTTAGCAATATTCCAGCAACATCACGTCTGGGGACACCAGAAATGGGCTTCACACATTGTACCCATGTGGGGATTCGAACCCGGGTCTTCGGCGTGACGAGCCAACGCTTTAACCATTAGGCTACCCCACCGCCCCTACAAGCGTCATGTAACTTTCATGGAACATCCCTAAAACTTCCATGAAACCTCAATGTAATTTCCACATAAATTGAAACATTTCCACTGACCACTTGCTTTACTTTCAATTTTAATTTCTCGTTTCGTCACCTTTTCACTTGTGTACAAAAATATACAGTAAAGTACAATTGTATCATACAAGATGCACAGAATTGAAGACATGTATCTGAATATCTCAAGTAAATATCAAACTTAACAATACTTTACTGCATTCAGTGCATGTAATAACAACTTTGACTAAAATGCGACAATAGGAAGACTACGAAAGTTTTCAACCCGTATCTTTGCTTTGCACTAAAATAGGCAATGTATTGCAATCTGTATTTCGCGTAAATTCGCGAAATTTCCATTTTTCTACATCTGTAAGGGTTTAGATTAATGCGAGACTATGTAGACATTCGGATACCTGCAAGGACTGGCATTACACCCGTTAACTGTCTTCGAGCGAAAGAAGAAGAGAAAAGAAATGCAGAAAGTGTGTTATAGAGAGCGATGGAAGTGACTTGAGGAAGCACTCGTAAAATCGGTGACCGTGGGCGACATTTGATTTTTGGTACTGGCGATCTCAAGTCGAAAAACTTCAGCCAATAATAATTGTTGAATTTTTATACATGGAGGATAGAAGCAGAACATTGCGTGTCAACAAAAATACTAAATACTCCACGGAACGATTTTTCTGTTAAAGGAGACCACCTTGAATACAAAAATATATGCTTATGGGAAGAAGCCTGAATGTATTGAATTAATTTATGCAGAACTCGGAGTGTATCCTTTAAATATATCAGAATGTTTAAAATGGTTAATGCTGGCGTATACTTTTGGATACTGACAATTGTATTTTTAAATGAGGTTTGGATTTTGTATATGAACGCAGAAGTTACAAATGATGGAGACTGGGCAGATGACGTCACACTGACGTCATCAGTATCAACAGCGTCGGCCCCGGCATCAGCTGGAGCGCAGTGACGTCCCATTTCAGAACATAAACAACTGAATCATCGATGTAGAGTGAGGAACGTACGGCGCAGCTGGTAACGTTGCAATTGGTAACGTCTGTGGAGCTTCAGCAACGCGTACACGATGTTTGAGACCAGTATTTTAATTGAAATGTTTACGATGTTTGGTTTTTGGAAAGGCATCCCAAAGCATATGGGGCTCCTTTCACGAAGCAACCTTTAATAAGGTTATCCTTAACTCCCATTCATTAACACTGCACTATGGTAACCTTCGTGACTTACGACCACCTTTGTGCTTTGTAAAAGCAGGCCCTGGTGTATAACCGCTAGGTTTGAACCCTGAATTTGGACACTTACAGCCAGTTGCCTTTAAGTACATCATTACATTTGTGAGACAGACAACGAGAACGAGAACAGAACGGAACCAATCATATCAAACAACAACAACAAAAACAGCAGTAGCAGCAACGTCACATTTCATTTCAAATTAAACACACATACTGAAGGCATTGACACAAACAATCGCAACTATTACACTTAATACAAAATATGTTGTCATGATTCTCGAATGTGCACGTGATACTTCCTCAGGGAGTTAATACAGTTTTAATTAATGGTATGTGTCAGCACTCAAATAACAACAGTACGTTAAAACATTACACAATAATTTAAAAGCACAAATAATAATACTAAAATATGAAACTTAAGAGAACATAAAATAACTTGAAGCATATTCCATTTTAGTAGCGTTTACGTGTGTTTATAGTGCATCTTTTGAGGATTTATTGAAATAAGGATTCGGGTTGTAGGGGTGGGGAAGGGTTTAAACTCTCCTTCACAGGGCTCCAGGAGGGGGCGCTCTCACAACACTTCGCTCAAGGGAGGGATGCACTCTCCGACATGTTGGCCCAGGCTTGTCAGTCACCCTTGCGTTTTCCCATCAGTGCGCCTGAAATAAGCATGGAATCTGCACATGATTCAGCGTTTTTGATCACTTTATAACAGTACTTGATACACCCCCCCTACTGGCCCGAAAAATAACATCACTGCAGTGAAGGAAATCAAACTGCGCCTAAAAACCCATACTGGCATATAGGGAAACCGTACATGGCTGAAGGAAATCCTATATGGCACAGAAGGAAATCCTATACGGCACAGAAGGAAATCCTATATGGCACAGAAGGAAACCAGACAGGACTGAAGAAATCCTTTCTGCACTTCCCCAATGAAATCCCCTTTGTATCAGAGTAACCCTTACTGAATTCGGGAGAGTCACTTTTCCAACATAACTCCACTTTGGTTCTGAAGGAACAATCCTCTCTGCACTCACCGAAGATCCGCTGGATGAAATCAGGCAGCAAAAGCTTTAGAATTGTAAGTAATATATTCTCTTGGTCTCCGTCTCCTGGAAGACAAGACAGACATGGTGAAAGAATTTATGCAGAGTACAAAAATAGGACCCAATGTCCTAAAATATCAATTTTCAAATCATACCATGCATGGGGAGAGTATCTGAACTTTGATGACGTAGAGCAAACACACATGTATAACAGTCTCAGAGGTCAATATCATGTGTTAGCGAACATTGACACTAGAAACTGTAAATATGGATATTTCACGGTATCCAGACTGACATTTGTTCACTGTGGACGTTATCCATACTGATATATGATCATCGTGGATGATTACATAATGCCATTTAGAAAGTGGTCAAATGTAACATATGTTATATTTGGGATTACACTTTCTTAGTAAAGTACAAATGTGGGCGTGTTCCATACTGATATATGATAAATGTGGGCGTATTCCATAGTGAGATATGATCAATGTGGATGTGTTCCATACTGATATATGATCAATGTGGGCGTATTCCATAGTGAGATATGATCAATATGGACGTGTTCCATACTGAGATATGATCAATATGGGCGTATTCCATACTGATATATGATAAATGTGGGCGTATTCCATACTGATATATGATAAATGTGGGCGTATTCCATAGTGAGATATGATCAATGTGGACGTGTTCCATACTGATATATGATCAATGTGGGCGTATTCCATAGTGAGATATGATCAATGTGGGCGTGTTCCATAGTGAGATATGATCAATGTGGGCGTATTCCATACTGATATATGATCAATGTGGGCGTGTTCCATACTGATATATGATCAATGTGGGCGTGTTCCATACTGATATATGACCAATGTGGGCGTATTCCATAGTGAGATATGATCAATGTGGATGTGTTCCATACTGATATATGATCAATGTGGGCGTATTCCATAGTGAGATATGATCAATGTGGGCGTGTTCCATAGTGAGATATGATCAATGTGGGCGTATTCCATACTGACATATGATCAATGTGGGCGTATTCCATAGTGAGATATGATCAATATGGACGTGTTCCATACTGAGATATGATCAATATGGGCGTATTCCATACTGATATATGATAAATGTGGGCGTATTCCATACTGATATATGATCAATGTGGGCGTATTCCATAGTGAGATATGATCAATGTGGACATGTTCCATACTGATATATGATCAATGTGGGCGTATTCCATAGTGAGATATGATCAATGTGGGCGTGTTCCATACTGATATATGATCAATGTGGGCGTGGTCCATACTGATATATGGTCAATGTGGACGTGGTCCATACTGATATATGGTCAATGTGGGCGTGGTCCATACTGATATATGATCAATGTGGGCGTATTCCATACTGATATATGATCAATGTGGGCGTATTCCATAGTGAGATATGATCAATGTGGACGTTATCCATGCTAAGATATGATCACATGGTGTGGCATACTCTCACATGGCACTCATTACCTCACGACACACTCTCTCTCACATGGTGTGGAACGCACTATCTCACATGAACCTTACTGTGTCATGCCACTCTCTCTCTCTCACACATGGTGTGGCATGTACCCCCCCTCACATGACATGGTGTGGCATGTACCCCCCCTCTCTCTATCTCTCTCTCACATGTGACACTCACAGTCTCATGACACACACTCTCTCTCATTGCGTGGCTCGGATACATGTATGACAGACCTTCCTCTGGGCGACGTTGGCTTCTCCGGAGATCCAACCCGGTGGCTTCGACGGTGTCCGCCGTTCCTTTCCTTAGTCCGACCACGTTTAATTTCCCTGTATTTCTCAATGCTTTGGAGGCATCATCACTGTTATCTGCAACAAACATCCGCTTGACACATTACATACTGGGAAAAGAGTATCATTGATGTCGGTTACGTCATGGTAACATCACAGTTATATCACAGGTACTTCATAGCTACATCACAGCTACTTTACAGGTACTTCATAGCTACATCACAGCTACTTTACAGGTACATCACAGCTACTTCATAGCTACATCACAGCTACTTTACAGGTACATCACAGCTACTTCATAGCTACATCACAGCTACTTTACAGGTACATCACAGCTACTTTACGGGTACTTCACAGGTACTTCATGGCTACATCACAGCTTTACAGGTACTTCACAGGTACTTCATAGCTACAGCACAGCTACTTTACTGGTATTTCACAGCTACTTCATAGCTACATCACAGCTACTTTACAGGTACATCACAGCTACTTCATAGCTACATCACAGCTACTTTACAGGTACATCACAGCTACTTTACGCGTACTTCACAGGTACTTCATGGCTACATCACAGCTTTACAGGTACTTCACAGGTACTTCATAGCTACAGCACAGCTACTTTACTGGTATTTCATAGCTACATCACAGGTACTTCATAGCTACATCACAGCTACTTTACAGGTACATCACAGCTACTTCATAGCTACTTTACAGGTACTTCACAGCTACTTTACAGGTACATCACAGCTACTTTACAGGTACTTCACAGATACTTCATAGCTACATCACAGCTACTTTACATGTACTTCATAGCTACATCACAGCTACTTTACATGTACTTCATAGCTACAGCACAGCTTACTTTACAGGTACTTCATAGCTACATCACAGGTACTTCACAGCTACATCACAACTAATTTACAGGTACTCACAGGTACTTCATAGCTACATCACAGCTACTTCAAAGCTATATCCGGGGTATCCAAGCTAGATGACCATATACAGGACCTATCTTGACACTAGTGCTTCGTGGTCTATGGCTAACACTAATGTGATATGATGTGAATATCATTGTGATCGGAAAATGACAAATAACAGAGTAAATAAATAACAGACAAATAACAGAAATAAATTCTGAGAGAGAGAGAAAGAAAGAGAGACAGAGAGAGAAGGTAGTGTGTGTGTGTGTGTGTGTGTTTACTTACTGTTTGCATAGAGAGAGAGAGAGAGAGAGAGAGAGAGAGAGAGAGAGAGAGAGAGAGAGAGAGAGAGAGAGAGAGAGGAGAGAGAGAGAGAGAGAGAGAGAGAGAGATATCCCAAATCTGAATTTACCAGCTCTCATCCCAGTGGCGGCGACGTGTTTGGAGTGTCCCTCAGCCTGCTTCCCTGTGACATCCACGGTAGCCTTGTTTGTTGCTGTGGATGTTGCTGCAGAGACAAAGTAAACACACATGCACACACTTATCTTGATCCATCTTTATAAAACTTAAGTTTTTGATTCAGAGAGATATTGTTGGTGACTGATGTTATTGCACACAGGTATAATTTTTAAAGACAGATCTCTGTTGCTGTGTTGTTGATACATATTGTTATTAACCTATATTGTTAAAAATAAATATTGACTTTTTCTGATTGCCATTATCTATTTGGCAGTAACTGATCCCTGCGTTGCATATAAATGTGCTCTTAACGTGCAAACGACGCACCTTCATAGTCTGTTTACTTAGGCATGTTATAAACCTATGGCCAATGTTGGCCATTGTCCTTGCAGTTGCTTCGCATTATGGAATAACCTCGGTAGAGGTTTTACGATTGCAGGTTTTACAATGACCATTGTAAAACCTCATACGAGGTACGAAGTTTTACAATGGTCGTTGTAAAACCTCATACCCTGATATGAGGTTTTCAAATGACCATTATTTATTACTGACACAACTTTATCTTGCTATGACAGATTGTAAAATGTCTCATTATTGAAAACTTCCAATATTTAGTGGCGATATTTGGTTTCGAATCCGCAACTCATCGCTCTCTAGCTTGGCGATTTTATCCACTACGCTACGAAGGATCGCTGTGAGGAATGAGATTGTTTGTCAGTATGAACCATGTGTTTCTCACAAGACAGGTACTGCGGGCAGCGCACGTGCAGGACACGGGTAGCGCGTGCAGAGCACGAGCAGTGCGCGTGGGGGGCAAGGTGTTGGCTGCCAGTCGCATCCCAGTTGACACCGGCTGTTCCATCATTTGCGGGCTGTTCCATCAATGTTGTTCTACTCAGTACATGCACAAATTGAAAATAGTACATATGTAATTTTTGTTGTCTTAGACGGTTTATAAGTTTGATAAAAGACTCCTCCTCGCTAACGCGCCCTCGGGATTTCCTTCCCCTGAGGTTTTACATTCTCAACCAAACCTCGGACTCGTCTTTTATCCTATACTTAAAACCCGTGAAGATGCGGGCTATAACACAGGCCCTGTCTTTGCGAGGATTAAAGGTGAGGTGAGGTGAAATTGGGTTTTACGTCGTGCTTGAGAATATTTCGCTCATATGACGACGTGCATGCATGCGTATATGTATGTGCGGCTGCTTGTACTAGCCCAGACTTAAGCTGGTTTTATAGTGCTAGCCCACTGAGATACCATGCCGCAGTGAAGCATGAATACCCCACTCAGACACATTATACTGACTCCGAGCCGACCAGTCCTTGTTGTACCCATTAATGCCGAGCGCCAGGCAGGGACCGAGAAGTACCAAATTTTGGTATGACGCTGTCGCGGTCGGGGATCGAACCCGCAACCTTCCGCTCTCCGGGCGGACGCTCTAACCACTACACCACGGAGGCGGTCGCGAGGATTAAAGATTGTAACACTTATAATAACTTTAAAACATAATATACTCATACAAACGAATAAGGGGAAACATGAAAGTACAAGTTCTTTATATATTTCCAGAATTTCACTCACAGTGCAATACATACCATGTGTTCCCTTATTTGTTCCTATGAGTATATATAAATCTTTTTGAGTACAATTATACTGCGAGGCATTTAGAGTCACTGGTCATCTCAAAAATCTTTTTATTATTACTATCATTATTTTAAATATTTTTTTAATCTTTAATCCTCGAAAAGACATGAGGGCCTGTGGGCTAGAACTGACCTTCGGGTGGTAAGGCTGGCTGACAAGTTTGATGCATGTGTACCGTTAAGCAACAAACAGGGGATAAGGTTGTTTAAAATGCTAATCCAAGGTGTTACAGCTGGTGTTATAACAGACACACGGGACGGCATTACCTTACTTACAGACCTAATCCTTTAGTATTGCTTTCGCTGTCTAGTGTTCATAAATCTTTGAACCCCATCTGTGTTTTTTTCTTTGCAGACGAGTTGAATCAAGAAGAGAATGTATACACTGTTCTTGGTCTAGCATCTATAGTTAGTCCATCTAAGATGCTGGATTTCTTTTCGATGTCACATGAGTGAGTGAATGAGTTTAGTTTTACGCCGCACTAAGTAATAGTAACTGTAAATAATCGAGTCTGGACCAGACAATCCAGTGATCAACAGCATGAGCATCGATCTGCGCAGTTGGGAACCGATGACATGTGTCAACCAAGTCAGCGAGCCTGACCACCCGATCCCGTTAGTCGCCTCTTACGAAGATCAATTCTAACCCGGACCTTCATGTCGATGTCACATGAACTAATACGGGTCTGTATGTATTGTCAAGTTATATTTTAAACGATATGCAATGTTTTTAGTGTATTGTTCTAAATTTTGAAAGTTTAGTTAGATGTTGCTGCAGCTATGTACTGCGAAGACATTACTACATATTCCTTTATTATAATAATAAATAATGTTATTTATTCGTATAGCCCTTATTTCCCAAGATAACCCAAGCAGCCTGTGAGGCGCAAGAAGGTTCATAGTCACATGACTTATCCCACCGGGTACCCATTTTCTGCTGGGTGAACAGGGGCAATTATGATGCATTTTAGCACGGTGTCATTTCTTGTCATTTGATCTGCACTACGGGTATACTCACCTATGTTATCCATACATCTGGAAATCAGGAAACACAGCACCAGGAGGAAACAGAAGGCCAGAATAAATATGTAGAAATCCATCTGCAACACAGGTTGATCTTTAATCCGTAAATTAGCCTGTATGTTTCATACAGTTAACAAACCCTATAGGGGGCGGTGTTAACAATAGAATTTATTCAGTATAAAGGCCACAGGCCCAAGTACAATATGAATGCAAGATATATACACACAAGGTGCTCAAGTTGACAACAGCAACATATGTGCATCTACGTTGAAAATATGTCCAGATACATTTACAGTGATGAGCAACGTACCATGAACGCGTCTTTGATAAAGTTTGCATAAAGAGCTATACATTTAGGGTTGGCAGTTTGAAGAATATATACTAGACAATCGTATTTACATATTTAATATTCATCACATATTTTAGTCGCAACCAATTATATATCGGACATTCTAGCATAAAATATAACTCATCTTTTAAGCATTTTTTCATAAAATGGACAAAACCGTTATTTTCAGGGTATACCTTCTTTTCTACCAGTATTCTTAATTATTTTTAATTCACCTAACCTTTAAAGTGAAACACATCTTCTTAAATCTTTATTATTTATTGTCAATAGGTATGATTCCATTTTAAAAGTTCTGGTAGAGTAGAAATCTTAATTAAAGTTGTCATTTAACATGGAAGGAACAGACTGAGTATAACAATCTTTATCCCTTTGGGAGAAGTGTGAAATAAATAAAACAGTGTTTACAATGTTCTGAAAATCCCAGGTATACTTAAAACCACAGATGCAGATTAATCTTTTAATTTCACTTGCCCATGACTTGCGTCCATTTTCATCCATTATTCTTTGTAGCATTAGGTAACATTGTTTAGGGTATCTGTTTTCTTCCATACTAAATAATTTACGCCAGTATTTGATGTATCTTATAATTGAATCACAGTAGATGTTATAACGACCACATTCAGCCACGACAGCAACATTTGTGCATGAACACCAACACCCAAAACATACTTACAAAATTGTGTATGGGATCTTTCTACTACCCATACATGGTAACCTAATATCTCTGAGCAGTAGAGAATAACTGGTTTTGTTTGTGTGTCAAACAATCTTTTTGATTACAGCTACTGCTTTACCCAAAAAGCCTAAAATAAAATTTTAGTTTTAGAATTTAGAATAGTGGTATATTATAAGGGCACACTGACGTCATTCTCTTCTCGGCCAATGGGGGCTGAAATGTTCCAACAGCAAGGCGAGGAAATCGTCACTAGTTGAGAAGTTGTTCCGGGTCTTGGGGATATTTACTTTTGATGAAAACCTGGTCAAGTGAGTAGATTACAGTAAGGGAATCCTCATTCTCAATGTGGAGAATCGATAACATATTCAATGAATCCTGTCCTTTTTGTTTTCAATGCCGTGATAAATCCTGTCCTTTATTTGAATGCTCGTCTGCGTAAGTAAGTTTAACGTAACGAAATTTTACGTCAGCATAATTGTCAAGAAAACTTTGTTCCCGAGTGCCTATCTCTGTCAATAATCCTTCGCAATACGTAATAGTAGAATCCAAAATTTGTGACAGATTCAGTTCGTTTCTCTGGAACATTGTGACACGTTTCTCCATGTAAGGTAAAACGTCTGATAACATGGAAACCGTTGCCACAAATGAAAATGCCTCAATTTTCTTTACAAGTCCAGGAGCTACAGGGTTTTTTCCTTAGTGTAGATTCCTCCTCCAGCTCAGTCACTAGTGCAGTCAAGTCTCGTAGATCGAACTGCTTGATTTAATGACAACCATCTCACAGCACACGGCTGCTTCAAACCTGAAAATTCTGTGCTGCATCTTTTAAAGTTCCCGTAAACGGTGATATCATGTAGCGGAGATTTCGCAAAGCTAAATATACTTCAGTCAGAGTCGTACGATATTCTAGAAAATATTTTGACATCTTGAGATTGTTCTGGAGAGGTAGGGGGTCATCAATTTTGCACATATGTACTAGGTGTGTGTAAGAGAGAGAGAGAGAGAGAGAGAGAGAGAGAGAGAGAGAGAGAGAGAGAGAGAGAGAGAGAGAGAGAGAGAGAGAGAGAGAGAGAGAGAGAGAGAGAGAGAGAGAGAGAGAGAGAGAGAGAAAGAGAAAAACAGAGAAAGAGAGAGCTTGAGAAAGAGAGCGAGAAAGGAGAGCTAAATATACTTCAGTCAGAGAAATTCTAGAGAGAGAGAGGTGTGTGTAAGAGAGAGAGAGAGAGAGAGAGAGAGAGAGAGAGAGAGAGAGAGAGAGAGAGAGAGAAAGAGAGAGAAAGAGAGAGAGAGAGTGAAAGAAGAGCGAGAAAGGGAGAGAGAAGAGAGAGGGAGAAAAACAGAGAAAGAGAGAGAGAGAAAGAGAGAGAGAAAAAAAGAGAGAGAGAGAGAGAGTAGGTAGAGTGTGTGTGTTTTTTTAGTTACTGTTTGCATACATTTTAGGGGCAGATTTCTGCATATTGATCCCTCCTTTGGTAAAATCATTCGATTTTGACGCAGCTTCACATATTTTGCAAGTTTTTCCCATGTTCACCTTTTACTTCGGGACCGTAAAGTAACCATTTAAATTCACGTTCGTCGTTAAAGTCTGCCACAGTCAGAATTTGTTTATCTCTTTCTTACCGCCATCTTTTTCTGTATTCCTTTTAGAAACTTTTTTTTATGTCACCAGTGTCGTGACTGTTTCGTTTACCCGTATCAGCGTCTGCCGCCCCCCACCCCTACCCACCCTCGAAAACACATCTCAAAATCGTCTGCTTGAGTTTGTCCGCCATGCTTTCCGGTTTATGTAGCTCGAAGCAAAGTGAAACGCAATAAGAAACATTTTGATTCCAGGCTACTACCATGTGCTAAAATAGCTAATGGGGATAGCCCAGTTTCTCTTTCCCAACAAAAACAGCGTAAGTAAATTGTATATTTCAAAAGTCGACGACATTTATTATTCAATGTTTTAAAAAGTACTTCGAATGATTGATTATTTCAGAAATTATATTACTGAAGTGAGTTGAACCAGCCGGTCCCTTGGACTGGCAGTCATTTAATATACCGGTGCTTGTCTAACATAACCGGTCTATTGCCGGTATTTGCTGGTTAACGGGAATACTGACGGGATGTTGATAAGTGCCTATCTTATCATATTCCTTTCCATTTAAGATTAGTCCTTTCACAGTTTAGATACAATTGTAGCTGGTCGCTATTGATAACACTGAATATACTCAAAGGTTGTGTTTCTATTGTAAACCGAAGGGTTTAGTCCATATTAAGACACATCGCTATACATGTGAGTATACTCTGTGAGACACATCTCTATATATGAGTGTATACTCTATGAGACACATCTCTATAAATGTGAGTAAATTTTGTGAGACACATCTCTATACATGTGCGTGTACTGTGTGAGACACATCTCTACACATGTGAGTATACTCTGTGAGACACATCTCTATGCATGTGAGTGTACTCTGTACAATTCTCTGTACATGTGAGTGTACTCTGTGAGACACATCTCTATGCATGTGAGTGTACTCTGTACACATCTCTGTACATGTGAGTGTACTCTGTGAGACACATCTCTATACATGTGAGTAAATTTTGTGAGACACATCTGTATACATGTGAGTGTACTCTGTGAGACACATCTCTATGCATGTGAGTGTACTCTGTGAGACACATCTCTGTACATGTGAGTGTACTCTGTGAGACACATCTCTATACATGTGAGTGTACTCTGTGAGACACATCTCTATACATGTGAGTAAATTTTGTGAGACACATCTCTATACATGTGAGTGTACTGTGTGAGACACATCTCTATACATGTGAGTGTACTCTGTGAGACACATCTCCATACATGTGAGTATACTCTGTGAGACACATCTCTATACATATGAGTGTACTCTGGGAGACACATCTCCATACATGTGATTGTACTCTGGGAGACACATCTCCATACATGTGAGTGTACTCTGTGAGACACATCTCTATACATGTGAGTGTACTCTGTCCACATCTCTATACATGTGAGTAAATTTTGTGAGACACATCTCTATACATGTGAGTGTACTCTGTACACATCTCTATACATGTGAGTATACTCTGTGAGACACATCTCTATACATGTGAGTATACTCTGTGAGACACATCTCTATACATGTGAGTATACTATGTGAGACACATCTCTATACATGTGAGTGTACTCTGTACACATCTCTATACATGTGAGTAAATTTTGTGAGACACATCGCTATACATGTGAGTGTACTCTGTGAGACACATCTCCATACATGTGAGTGTACTCTGTGAGACACATCTCTATACATGTGAGTGTACTCTGTGAGACACATCTCTATACATGTGAGTGTACTCTGTGAGACACATCTCTATAAATGTGAGTAAATTTTGTGAAACAGATCTCTATACATGTGAGTGTACTCTGTGAGACACATCTCTATACATGTGAGTGTACTCTGTGAGACACATCTCCATACATGTGAGTGTACTCTGTGAGACACATCTCTATAAATGTGAGTAAATTTTGTGAAACAGATCTCTATACATGTGAGTGTACTCTGTGAGACACATCTCTATACATGTGAGTGTACTCTGTGAGACACATCTCCATACATGTGAGTGTACTCTGTGAGACACATCTCCATACATGTGAGTGTACTCTGTGAGACATATAGATTATGACAAAAGACAATAGTTATCAAACCACTAATCAAGCTGCACGGAAATGATTTAAGGTTTTGCTGATGTAGAAATGCCGTATGGCAAAAGTGATATCGCAATGACCCAAGTCTATACTGATGTAGAATTTACCCAGGCATGCTTTTGAAATTAAAAGAAAGACTGAAGCTCAAGCTGATATTGCAATAACCCCGATTTATACTAATCAACATCCCTTTAAAAATACCCATTGTGATAATTATGACAAAGAGAAGTCGCAATTGTCCCAAAATACACGCCGACTTCCCAATTTATATTTACCGGTGTTGATAACCGAGCTCTTAACATGTAGCACATACGTTCAGCTCTTGTGATCCTAATTGTATGATCTGCCTTACCTGGGAAGATGTAATCCTCCTCTTCTTCGTTTAACGTTAGATCCACTTGTACCCCAACACTTGTATTTAGGGACTTGTTCCCCAACACTTGTATTTAGGGACTTGTTCCCCAACACTTGTATTTAGGCACTTGTACCCCAACACTTGTATTTAGGCACTTGTACCCAAACACTTGTATTACGGCACCTGCATCTACACATTTGAAAACAGACACCCGCACTACGGAAACACGGACCTTCATGTTCATGACACGTCATGTCTATAAATAGACGCAATTCCTCGAGAACGTTTGCTGACGCATTGAACTAGAACGTGTCCCCGAATTCAAAGCTACTAAATCAATCACAATTCTTGGAAATTAACGTCAAATGTAGTCCAACCTTCTCCGTACATTGAAAGAACTTACAGGGGACTTTCACAGGCCTCATACAAAACCTTCACGGGATACTATTTAGGTTTCCCTAAAGTACCTCGGAAGACAAAATTCAGGTATGTTGACTTAAATTGCACAACAAAGTAAATTGTAATGTTACTGAATTTCTTTAGGAAGCCCAGTGAGAAATCAATATTGACGCAGAAGGATTTGACATGTTGATTATACTGACACGTATAAGTCGATGGAGGAACTAGCTCAGTGAGAAAACATAAATAACAGCGCCTTCGGTGTTATGCACAAAAGACAATTACACAGTGAGCATTATCAATCGTATGATATGTTGCGTGTCAAGCTGACATTTGTTATGCGCCAGAGATCAATGTAGGCTTCATGTCGGGGATCGCGCAATGAGTGGAGCTCACATTACACATATACAAGTTGCAAATGACCACCAAGTGATAAGTAGAGCTGTAGGCTTCCTTTCTCCAGCTCACAATTCCCAGTACATGTGTTACATTACCGTTACCTTATGTAGGAGGGAGGGTGAACACTTTCAAACTTTATCCTAATAATCGTTAGGGCAGAAACAGATCAGCGTCACCCTACACAAAACCAGCCCAAATTGCCAGACAACAAAATAGAGGAACTCCTGAGCACAAGTTTTCGTCAGGGTTATAATATACTACTAGTGTATGAAATAAGGCCCGTCCGACCGCCCAAGACGGGCTAGATTTCTGCCGGACGGTCTAATTTTACAGCCAGCCAGCCCAATGGAAGGGTAAAGAAAATATTCAGATAACGTGTCCATTGGCACGGTCTATTTAGTATTTAAGAAGGACTGGTTAAATCTCTTCTGAGCTGGTTGATATTGATCCTAAAACTTCCTTGTAAAGTAACACTTTGATTTCCAAGATATTTTTATGGATTAAACTTCTTTTTAATTTTTCTCATTAACGTTTCTGAGATTCCAGGTCCCTTCATCATGAACTGGCAGTTAGGACTATGACGTCGTCGCTATGACGTATTACTGAGTTATGACGTCACAATGCAAAATGACATCACAGTGCACTGGGGAGTACTGTATAAGGGAGTTAGTTACATAATGAGTTGAAAGTTGAATTATCAATACACAACAACTGCTAATTACACAAAGGTTATTGATAGCAGGCTTTCCAAAAGAATAGTAGACTCGTTTTTTCTTGTATCTAAAGTTCATCAAAGTTCATCAAAAAGTTAATCAAGATCCCACGCATTGGCAGGTATACACCTTGATCACGATTAATTGCTGGTTTATGTCTCCTTATCTCGACAGCTTCCTGTAGTTTTCCGACGCCAGTCATTGTTATTTCTCGAAATCACCCTAATATCATTCCACATGATTACATGACTTTGGTTATTTGCCTTGTGCTCTGATATAGCTGACTTATCATTTTGTTTGCATACTGATGACTTGTGTTCAGCAACCCGGGTGTTAATTGGCCTGAGAGTCTCGCCAAATATTGATCGTACAGCTGCATGGTGATTTGGTATACATATCCTCTAGGGTTGGGGCTTCCGTTGCAAGATCCTCTACCATTTGCCCGGAGGAGGTCTTAATTGCTGTACCTCCGGGCAAATGGTAGAGGATCTTGGTAAATGGAAGCCCCAACCCTAGAGGATGTGTATACCAAATACCATGCAGCTGTGGCGATCAATATATTGGCGAGACTCTCAGGCCCATTAACACCCGGGTTGCTGAACACAAGTCATCAGTATGCAAACAAAATGATAAGTCAGCTATATCGGAGCACAAGGCAAATAACCAAAGTCATGTAATCATGTGGAATGATATTAGGGAGTGATTTCGAGAAATAACAAATGACTGATGAAGGGACCTGAATGGTCTCGAAACGTTGTGAGAGAAATTAAAAAGAAGTTTAATCAATCACAATTCTTGGAAATTAACGTCAAATGTAGTCCAACCTTCTCCGTACATTGAAAGAACTTACAGGGGACTTTCACAGGCCTCATACAAAACCTTCACGGGATACTATTTAGGTTTCCCTAAAGTACCTCGGAAGACAAAATTCAGGTATGTTGACTTAAATTGCACAACAAAGTAAATTGTAATGTTACTGAATTTCTTTAGGAAGCCCAGTGAGAAATCAATATTGACGCAGAAGGATTTGACATGTTGATTATACTGACACGTATAAGTCGATGGAGGAACTAGCTCAGTGAGAAAACATAAATAACAGCGCCTTCGGTGTTATGCACAAAAAAAAGACAATTACACAGTGAGCATTATCAATCGTATGATATGTTGCGTGTCAAGCTGATATTTGTTATGCGCCAGAGATCAATGTAGGCTTCATGTCGGGGATCGCGCAATGAGTGGAGCTCACATTACACATATACAAGTTGCAAATGACCACCAAGTGATAAGTAGAGCTGTAGGCTTCCTTTCTCCAGCTCACAATTCCCAGTACATGTGTTACATTACCGTTACCTTATGTAGGAGGGAGGGTGAACACTTTCAAACTTTATCCTAATAATCGTTAGGGCAGAAACAGATCAGCGTCACCCTACACAAAACCAGCCCCAATTGCCAGACAACAAAATAGAGGAATCCTGAGCACAAGTTTTCGTCAGGGTTATAATTACTACGTTGTAATACACCATGTTGACAGAATACACACTTCGGGTGAATGTAGGTTTAAGGCACAGGACAGGCTGTAGCGAATGTTTCAATTCTTAATTCATACGGCAACAGATGACTCCAGATATATATCAGAGCAAAGCACTGTCAGATGTGTACGTACATCCAATCACATGTCCAATATTAATTCATACGCCGAAACGATAAAAGAGGAAAAGGAGAAGCAAAACAGCAAAAACCTTCAATACGTCTGGCACAAGGGTATTATATTTGTTCTTAAATCATACGGTATTGATGATAATCTTTTGCAATGGTTTGATTGTTATTGAGAAAATTGACTTCAAAGGGTGGTTATTCACAGTTATAGGTCTAACACACATGTAGGACCAGTCATGGCTGGAGTAATGCAAGGATATGTCTTACGCCCACTGTTTTTCTTTATTTACACCAACGATATAGTTGAAGGCATAGATAGTAACATTAGATGATTTCAAGATGACACATACTTATCTGTAGTTGTTGAAAACTCTTCCACCATTGCTTGTGCCAAAAAGTAAATTTACATTACAACAAAACAAAATCAGTTCACTATTTGTTACGAGGGAGGAGTGCAGAGAAAGGGACAGCCAGGTGTTCGAGAACGGATGGAGACGGCACAGCACATTGTAATCAATAAATAACTTTGTGAACGTGCTTCTCGAACACCTGGCTGTCCCTTTCTCTGCACTCCTCCCTCGTAACAAACAGTGAACTGTGTCAATATTTTAATGATAGATTGTTAAACAACTTTTTATTTTTAGGACAAAAATTCTGCAAAAACCTCACAGAGTTGGTATGGCGTTTTGGTTATAGTCAGCGTTTCATTGAGTATGTTATGTTTATTAGTTTTTGAGTTTTTGATTGCATTTCATAGGTCCGCTTTTGAGCCCAACGGACTGTAATTTCAAAGAGTAAAAAGGATTTATCATGGATAAATCATACATGAGATCCCGAGGGCGGCATTTAGATAACCCTCTGAAAGAAGCTATTGAACTCCAGTGTATGAAATAAGCCAAAAAAAGCCTGCCAGACATTCGGGCTGGTAAGTTCAAAATGGATTTAACCATACCAGACAATTCAAAGTAAATAACTCAATTGTTAGTTACAATGAATACTTCTAATACAAGACAAATCTTATAGATAACAACTTCTTGATTTGATTACACAATCACAATTGAGGGTGTGAGTTCGAATCCCGGATGGAGCTCAACCAAAAAAAGTAAGTGAATTTGTACTTTACTAAGAAAGTGTAATCCCAAATATAACACATGTTAACTTCTTGATTTATTTTTCACAACGTTTCTCGGCTAGTTCTTGCCCCTCCCTCAGCTGGATAATGCTGATAGTGAACAGTACAGTATAAATACTGAAGTGTTCGCTTATCACGCCAAAGACCCGGGTTCAATTGATTTGATTGATTTAAACATATTTTATTCACAAATGTGAAAGGGATTGGGGACAAGCTATCCAACTTAAAATACCCGCTCCCTAATATTTACATACATACAATTTCAGTGATATACATCTTAGGAATGAATACAGAGAAGAGATAGGAAAGTAAAAGAGGAAGGGACACGACTTATGTGATCACTCAAAAATGTTCCCCACATGGGTACAATATGTGAAACCCATTTCTGCCCCCATATATATAAAGAGAGATAGATAGATAGATAGATAGATAGATAGATAGACAGATAGATAGATAGATGTACAGGAAGCAAGATATGTAAATTGAGTATATACAAGGGAAAAGGAGATATAATTAAGTATGTACAAACAATGCAATGAGATGAAAGAGCAGAATACAATGATAGGGTATGTTTTTACAATAATTGTAATGAATACTTTAATGAACCTGGGACGTGTGTGTTTATGGGTGTCGCTGTTTTAGTGATAATATATGTCAACGCAGTGCTTTGATCTTGCGTTACGATAGTTCAATGTTCAAACAGTAATAGTCAAGTCTAAATGTAACGCTCAATTTGAAAAATAGAATTTGTGATATGGTGAATTTATGGAACATGTTATCTAAAATGTTTACCAGACCATCGGGCTGGCTGACGGTAAATGTACATCGTCCGTCAGAAATCTAGCACTGATTACACGCATATGATGTCTATTGTACCATCAATGTTTCCTTGTTCAGGAGGACACTTGGCTTTCCTTTGCGTGTGTTTTTGACGAGTGCCACCGATACTGCAAAGTAAGCTCAATCATTTAAGAGCATCTCGTATGATTGAAAGTCACTTGAAAGTCATTCCTAAATACATGCAAGAATCATTACAAAGTCTAAAGTCTTCGACCACATTACTCCTATTCTAAACGATTTACACTGGCTACCAATCACCGCAAGAATTGACTACAAAACTATTGTAATGACGAACAAGTGTCTCAACGGAATGGCCCCTGACTACCTCGCAGAGTTACTGCCCCTGTATCAGCCCTCACACTCACTGAGATCACAAAACCAAATGCTAGTGACAGTGCCAAACATCAAAACTAACTTTGGCAAAAGGTCGTTCGCTTCAATGCAGTAATGAAGTGGAATGCGCTACCGCTTGAACTCAAAACCAGCGAGTCACTAACATCTTTAAGACTCGCTTCAAAACATATTATATTTTCAACAGTCAATTTCCATCTTAAGCGCACAGAGCATTTATTAGTGAATGACGCGCTGTATAAATGCATTATGCATTATTATTATTATTATTATTATTCTTTTGTTCCTTTGGCTAGTTTGGATGGGGAAAATAATAATCTTTCAGTGTCAAAATATTAGTTATTTGAAAATAAAGATCACGGTAGTATTTTCCTTTGGCTAGTTTGGATGGGGAAAATAATAATCTTTCAGTGTCAAAATATTAGTTATTTGAAAATAAAGATCACGGTAGTATTTTTCTTTTTTTTTCAGCATGGATTCAGAATTCTATTGGATACCAGCAGCTGTTGTCGTAGTCGTACTGGCTATTATATGGTGGCTTGAACCAGGAACGTTTCATTGTCGTACAGGTAAATATATATCCAACTAGGAAACAGGATCACTCCATACAGATACATAAGAATGCGTGTAATAGGTAAAGGCACATCTACTTGCATGCTGGTGTGTGTATATGTTGCAGTGAATGTGTAAAACTAGGGATTATGTATAAACCCTGTCCCCTTCGTGACCCGGGAACAACTTATGACATACATCAAACATGTGTAAATGTCATTATGCTGAATACAGAGACCATTGTCGCAAAGAAACGTATGAACTTGTATGCAAATGTATGAACTCGAAACTAACAGGTAACATTTTCTTTCCTTTTGACTTTTGATGAGGCATTTTGTGTGTTCTTCATTGTGGGGACGGTGGGGTAGCCTAGTGGTTAAAGCGTTGGCTCGTCACGCCGAAGACCCGGGTTCGAAATCCCACATGGGCACAATGTGCCCCCCGCCGTGATGTTGCTGGAATATTGCTAAAAGCGGCGTAAAACTAAACTCAGTCAGCCAGTCAGTCTTCATTGTGGATAAATTTATTAAGTTAATATACACAAGAACTTAATTAAGCACCCCTGTATTTTTGCAATGATAGGTTTTCAACACCTACATAAAACTTCTCGTGGTGACCACGATGAAAAACATGAGTTTATCTGACCCGTATGATCCTTTGACTCATAACAAAACGACAAAATGATTGGAATCCATGTTGATTTTATGATTTTGCTCATTTAAAACGAAAACAAAATATCCTTGTTATACTGTTGAGTATTGACAACATTGATTCAGGACTGCTGCTAAAGAAACCCTATGCATACATCTTTTAAAAACGTTGTGTGCCTCAGTACATAGTAAGAAAATCACTTTGCAAAGAACCAGATCGTTCCATCTCTGTTTCAAAATTTTAAGGGATATTTCATAAAACTGTTACAGAGACAATAATGATAATAATTATAAAGGTATCCTCAATATCAATCATCACTTCTGTAACATTTTATTCCCTTGATATTTAAATGCTTTAAGAAAATGTCAAAACATACAAACCATTTCCTTGTGACATCCAGAGAAGATCGCAGGTCCAGAGCGTCCTATATCTATGTCACGTGACAAAATTGAGCTTATCCATTAGTTCGTAACACAGAACACTGGACAGCTCTTGAATTTCTAGAGATAAACCCATGTTGTTTGATTAAGAAAGAACTTTGCGAGGTACACACCACCATGAAATTTTATCTGGAGATTGCACACGCCACCCAAATTACTCTGGACACCCGAATTTTCACCAAAGTGGAATTAGAACATTCTGGTTTTCAGGCGACGATAAGATATTTGGCGCTTATAGCTACTTTAACAAATTTGAACACATGGCACGTTTTATGGAAAACAACTACACGACGTTTCAGAGCTAATTCTTGCTCATTCAGAAACTTCTAACTGCTTTTCAAGAACTTAATTAACAAATTTGCATTATGATTTTCATTCTGTAGCACCGCGTGGTTCGAGGATGACTGTAACTGCTAACGATGGCGGTAAATGTGAAACGTCTATGGCATTCGGATCAATTGGAGGTATGTATCTTAATTCAAATCTTGGGGCAGTACGAGCACGTCACTCCCGACGGTGTTATTCACAGTGACATCTTCCACTAAAACCATGTTCGATGTTTATAAGCGAAATCGTCCATAACATCGATCATGAAAGGGGGATATATATATGGCCATCCTCTTCAACCTTCACATTGAAGCCAAATGAAATTCAAAATATATCATGCACACAAATACTTTTCAGAGTTTTGAATTCTTTGGGAAATATCATCCTGTTTCTGGATGTTGACCTCTGTCAGCTTAGGCAAAGTAAAGGTGCTGAATAAAGCCTCTAACAATTGAATGCATTGTAAATGTCGCCACCTTGACAGGGCGTTATGTTTTGAAATTGAAGTGATAATCACCTGTTTTTCATCAGATCACCAATGGTTATTCTGAAATGTCGCCGATAAAGCTAGAATTGTTAAGTGCCACCATTTTATATCATCATTTCTGCCTGAATTAATCCCTGGCTTCTATTTCTGTCAACTGTTAATTACCACCATTGTTATCTCATCATTGATGAACCCGTGAAGGTCCGGGTTAGAATATTGATCTTCAGTAACCCATGCTTGTCGTAAGAGGCGACTAACGGGATCGGGTGGTCAGGCTCGCTGACTTGGTTGACACATGTCATTGGTTCCCAATTGCGCAGATCGATTCATGCTGTTGATCACTGGATTGTCTGGTCTAGACTCGATTATTTACAGACTGCCGTCATTTAGCTGGAATATTGCTGAGTGCGGCGTAAAACTAAACTCGCTCGCTCACTCACTCACTCATCATTGATGCCTGGCCTCTATTTCCCATTGCCACTACTAACCAGCGCCAGTTAACTTATGGCTTCCCTTGATGTTATCTTATCACTTAAAGGATTTTGGGTCTTGAATCCACATTCAACACACGCAAAAAAACCCACTGAGTTTCATGCAAAACCATTTCAGTATAAGTATGGCCCTGGAATGTTTTGCAGTGAATTTACTGGTGAATGTGAACATTTGAGATGTCATTTTGCGTGTCTTACACGATTCAAGGTCAATACCAAGCGTAACCTCCATGTGACTGTATGACATCCAGCACTCTCCTCCTTATACCCCCCTGTCAGTTACTTGATCCTCTGGGGCGGTGGGGTAGCCTAATGGTTAAAGAGTTGGCTCGTCATGCCGAAGACCCAGGTTCGAATCCCCACATGGGCACAATGTGGTGTCCCCCGCAGTGATGTTGCTGGAATATTGCTAAAAGCGGCGTAAAACTAAACTCAGTCAGTCAGTACTTGATCCTCTGAAGGGGCAGTCTACGCCATTCCTCATGTAAAGCAGCTTCCAATTGGGCCAGGTTCTGTACAGGCGCATCCCTTTGTTGCACACGACGACCAATGATGTCCCAGATATGCTCCAAAGGGTTAAGACCGGGGCTCATTCAATCGAGAGATATATCAGGGGATGCTCAACTACGTTATTTGTGTATATATTCAGTTCTAAGGTCAACAGGCCAACAAAACTGATTATTGAAACTAAAGTGTAATAAAAGCATAATTCTGAAAGAAATATGATTACCATAGTTTGATAACACACCAACACTTGTGTCTTACTTTCGTCTCATAGCAAGGTATATTTTGTTGTCAGACGATGGTAAGCCTTTGCCAGATGGAGCAACTGTTGACGTGGCAGCCAACAAAGGAGGAGGAGTGAGCACATATGCGTTAGCTGCGTGGAAAATTACAGAGAGGGGTTTTCAAACTGCCTGGCAAGCGGTAAACTCAGCAGCAAAAGGTACCACTCAGTGCAGACAGTATTCTGATTGAACTTGATGCTCATATAAGTATGTCAGCGATTGTTTCGCTAAATCACCTTTCCTAAACGTTACATACAATAGTCAATTTTGTATCGTTCCTTAAAGATTTTAAAGCACCCCTATTGTTAGAGTAAACGGGAGATAACATAATAATGACAAGCTCCATGCATTGCCTTCGAATATTTTGCAGCTGTTGTAGGTCCAGGGCGATACAAGATGGAAGCGGTTCCACGAGGTAAAAAGCATTAGCGACAGAATAGCGTTAATCATATTGTTTGGTCTTAAGCCTGAGTGCAACCTAACTTCACCTAACCAAGATGTGAAAACGTCAGTTTAAATTTTCTTTGAACTGTGAAGGTACACTTCCAGATATATGGTCGTATTTTCAGGCCGATATATATATATACCTGACTGGATGCTCCGTCGGAGGTCTCGAATAGCATTTGATTAAAAAAGGGTTTTGTTACAAAACACGCCTCGCCATTAAACATACTTCAATCGGGATGTCAATGTAATTCGCAATTCCACAGTCCCAAGCGTTTTTCACCATGGCATATTATTTGTATTAGACAGGATATCGACGGCTTTGTATCGTAATTTATAGTAGAATGTATGTAGATGTCATGCTGCATATATTCTGATACCCATAAGGAGGTTCCATTGTTCGTGCCATTACCTCTATAACATATGACTGTCTGTTGAAATGGTAATCTGAACTGACATGTTGTATGTTCTCAGGACTGTGCCTAATAATAAACAACATAAATTTTGAAGGAGAAATTCCATCACTTCACTCTGCTCAGGAAATAGCAGGTAATATTTTCCATGTTTAAGACACCATATATAAATCTCGCCACTTACTTCAAATCCATGTTTAGTCGAACCCGTGAAGATCCTGGTTAGAATTGATCTTCAGTAACTGCTTGTCATAAGAGGCGACTAACCGGATCGGGTGGTCAGACTCGCTGACTGGTTTGCCAGATGTCATCGGTTCCCCATTGCGTAGATCGATGCTCATGCTGTTGATCACTGGATTGTCTGGTCCAGACTCGATTATTTACAGACTGCCGCCATATATTTCAATATTGCTGAGTGCGGCGTAAAACTAAACTCACCCACTCACTCCATCTTAAGTCCGATTACAGTCCGTGGTCTTTCAGTACCATAAACTGCTCGTGTAATTCACTAACGATGTTTTCGAATACTACTGCAGGTGGCTTGAACAACATTGTATACACTGATACCATTGCATCTGTATATTCTGCTCATCACAATGGCTTGGAGTTCAGTACATTAATTCGTACATTAGTATTTTTAAAGGAGTATGGTTTTACGCCGCTTTTAGCAATATTCCAGCAACATCACGGCGGGGGACACCAGAAATTGGCTTCACACATTGTACCCATGTGGGGATTCGAACCCGGGACTTCGGCGTGACGATTTAACCACTAGGCTATCCCTACGTCCCTTCAAAGGATCAATTAGCAAGGCAATGTGTATCGATTCAAAAAATCAATTATATGAGACATTTATTGCACTGGATTATAAAATTATGATAATACAATGCCACAAAGATATGATGGCATATACTGTATGACTTCTTGTTACAGAACCATTGAAGGAGTTATTCCAAAAGTTTCACTTCAAGATATTATACAGGAAAGACAAGTCGGCAAATGGCATGATGGAAGAAGTTCGCTTTGTGGCGGGGAAGGATCACAGTCAGTACGACTGTTTTGTCTGCTTTGTACTGACCCATGGCGAGGATGGCGTTCTATTCGGTTCAGATGGGAAGAAGGTACCCCTGAAGGAGTTCATCAGCGCTGTTAGTGATCAACACTGTCCAACGCTTGCAGGGAAACCGAAGTTGTTCTTCGTTGACTCATGCCGAAGAGGGGATCCCATAAAAGGCGTGTATTTGTTTATTTCCTTATTATTGAATGAATGAGGTTTTGCCACTGAAACAAAATCAACCGTGAAAGACTTCAATTTCAGTTCAATGTTATTTTGATTATACTCTTTCTATGTAGAACACGATCCCGTAAAACAATATTTTGAAATACTGACATCAACGTAAAAATGTTATCATATAGTTCTGACTTCGTTAGGACATATAACACCTTCTGTATGGGTAAGCGTTAGTTCTAGATATTCATTTGCATGTACATCAAGCAGGAAATGACAACGTTTCCTCGGAAGAGTCTTTACGATTGAGTAACATTTTGGAGCATGTCAGATTTACAAAGAGTATTCACGTTTCCAGCCGCATTGAAATCCCTATCAGAGTATTTATCAAGCCCCGATGAAGATGGTGACCCTGAACTGATAGATTATTTCGTGGGCTATTCGACACAGAAGTACAAGAGAGCCTACAGAAATAATGAGTCTGGGAACATCTACACCCAAGAGTTCATTAGCGTCATGATGGACCAAGGCGAGAGGTATGTACTGTTCATAAGTGGCAAAACACTGCACTCGTCTAGTTTTGTAAGACCAAGCCTTTTCAGAGAAACCGAAGATATCACAACACTGTAGCCGTCTACGTAACCCAGATTGTCAAAGGGGTTGATGACGTTAACGTTGCAGTTGTGCCATTTGTTGCAAGCAATATTCTAGCAAATTCAGTCTTTGGTGTCAACAATTCACAGTTTTTAGTTATACGCGCATGATCTTTCTACTATGAGTGAGTGACTGAGTTTAGTTTTACGCCGCACTCAGCAATTTTCCAGCTATATGGCGGCGGTCTGTAAATAATCCAGTCTGGACCAGACAATCCTGTGATCAACAGCATGACCATCGATCTGCGCAATTGGGAACCAATGACATGTGTCAACCAAGTCAGCGAGCCTGACCACTCGATCCCGTCATTCGCCTTTTACGACAAGCATAGTCGCCTTTTGTGGCAAGCATGGGTTGCTGAAAACCTACTCTACCCCGGATCTTCACGGGTCTCATTCTATTATGAAAGAACGTCATACTCAAAAATTGTTCAATCATGGTTACCACACTTTAGGTCTCGGAAAAGTTGTCGAAAGGTTTCATTATCGTCACGTCAAGGACATTTCCAAATTGGATGCATCCATTACAAAAATGACGTACGTTACATGGGGTGATTATTCAATATATAGAACGTCCGACCTACAAAGAAATACACATTGGGGATGAGGACCGAGAAGACAATTAAGACCTCAGTCACTTTAGGCGTCCCTTCCCCATAAAGCTACCCTTTGATATTACTGAACACTGTTCAGGGGGCTTTATAAAGCAAACGGATTTACATTACAGACTTAGGTTGAAGAGATATAGAATGTTATTTTCGGAACGACGTTGGCACAATTTCCAAACGCGAATTTCAAGTGTATGTCAGTATATAGTAGACGTTATAACGATGTGTGTATCAATGACCAGTTCTTGCAATCCTCGTAATTCATACATGACATGGAACTTCAGTTCTGAACATTTCTGGACATTATTTTTGTAAAACGTAGTAATTCGTAACTTAACGTACTGTAAATCGATTGGACGTATATGTATTACACGAGAAATACTACAGATTGTTGATATGAGAGGTCTGTGTTTCCAGGGAGGATCTGTTGAGCATCATGACGATGGTGAACGAAAATGTCAGAAAACGAGGTGTCTATGACCGAGAAGGGGTAAAGTGGAGCCAGTTTCCCGACATTTGGACCAAACTGAGGAAAAAGCTTTACTTTTGATGGACACCATTGCTACACGACCACCCGATCATTCATCAGCTTAAGGATGAGCAGCCGTTGAAGCCTTGTTTACAAAATATATAATTTGATAAAAATAATTGATGTATACTGACACACATTGAAAACGCAAAACCAAATTCATAAAAAATGATTGCAAGAGTTCCGCCAATATGACTGACACGTCAAGCGTCACACACAGACCCCCCTGACGTCCGTCAGTAGCGAGTGTGACCTCCCTTAGCCTGTACACATGCACGGAGTCGACATTGCATGGATTCGCACGAACATCGAACAGGTGCTTGGGGGATGTTCTGCCACTCCTGTTGTAAAGCCAGGGTCAACTCAGCGACGTTGTTTGGCTGACGTTGACGTTGACATTGATGAATCCGGGACCAAGCTCATGTTCATGTTGCTGCCTGTAGACGCGTTGTCTGCCATCTGCAAATGACACACAGAACATGGACCCATTGAAAAACACCCACTGGTTGGAGATTCATTGTGGTTGGAGGCTATGTTGCTGTGCAAACAGGAGTCTGTTGACTCGATGACGTTACGTAATGACGTTTCCCGATATGGCCCCTTAGTGCCACAGCCTGAAGACGTGAAATGACTGTCATGGCGCTGATGTGGCGTCCTACGGTGTTTCGAGGTGAGTTTGCTGCTGTCTGAAAGCGGTTTCTGTGGTGAACTCGTCGGATGTGCTGGTCTGGACGTGCCGTCGTGACCGGAGTTTGTCCTGGTAAGGGACGGTCACTGACGCTTCCAGTTTGTTGATGACGATTCTGGAGTCTGTTGATGGTGGATGGGCTCACTCCGAAGTGGTGGGTGACCTCATTTTGTGATGTTCCCACCAACAGCATCCCGATAGCTTGTTCCCTCTGCTGTTCACTGAGCCGTGGCATTTTGTGACTGCTAGTGAAACGGTTGAACCATAGTGCCTTTTATGCGTCCAAAACCTGGCTTTGCATGTGTATGTCATGATGATCATGCACCCCAACAGGTCCAAGGAATATGCCAGAGTTGTGTTTTCATGAACTGTACCCATGACAGAAACACGAAAAGGGTTCGGACCCAGATGTGCATATGGTTTTATTCGGCAACCTCACATCACTATATTTTCGTGTGGTAAATGAAATTGCTTCACAAAACTTTGTTAGAAATTGCAAAAATGGGTTTTGCTTTTTCAATGTGTGTCAGTATATATTTTGCATGCAAAACGTAATAAAATCATGAATTTTGATACAGTCGTAAATCTTGCAGGGTATTTTTCATTTGTTTTCACAACTTGCACCAAATTCATCAAAAGAGAATAATTCAGTTTGCACCAACGGGATATCGGTTGTACTGCGTTATAACAATGTTCCGATATCGGTGACAACAAACGATTCCTTAGGAGCAGACCGAGAGGGATATCCATGGTCAGTATCTCCAATACTGTCCACGATACTGTCAACAATACTGTCCTCAATACTGTCCACAATACTGTCCACGATACTGTACACGATACTGTTCACGATACTGTACACGAAACTGTACACGATACTGTCAACAATACTGTACACAATACTGTCCACAATACTGTCAACAATACTGTCCACAATACTGTCAACAATACTGTCCACAATACTGTACACGATACTGTCCACAATACTGTACACGATACTGTCCACAATACTGTCCATGATACTGTCCACGATACTGTCCGCGATACTGTCCGCAATACTGTCCACAATACTGCTGACAATACCGCTGATAATACTCCTGACAACACTGTCCACAATACTGTACACGATACTGTCCACAATACTGTACACGATACTGTCCACAAGACTGTACACGATACTGTCCACAATACTGTACACGATACTGTCAACAACACTGTCCACAATACTGTACACGATACTGTCAACAATACTGTACACGATACTGTCCACAATACTGTACACGATACTGTCCACAATACTGTACACGATACTGTCCACAATACTGTACACGATACTGTCCACAATAATACTGTCCACAATAGTGTACACGATACTGTCCACAATACTGTACACGATACTGTCCACAATACTGTACACGATACTGTCAGCAATACTGTCCACAATACTGCTGACAATACCGCTGATAATACTCCTGACAACACTGTCCACAATAGTGTACACGATACTGTCCACAATACTGTACACGATACTGTCCACAATACTGTACACGATACTGTCCACAATACTGTACACGATACTGTCCACAATACTGTTCACAGAAGGAAGGACGTTGTTTTTTACACAGACACTTTATGACAGGGTGTATGCAGTACATAGATTAGTAAATCAACATACATAAACAGTACATTTTAACAAATCCGCTGTGCAAGATAAACGAAATTAATCAATCAGCATGTTATCGGTTAAACCTTTGATCGATGTTTGTTTTTGTAACTCAGCTGATAATTCCTCCTACTGCACTTCCATGCGCGTATTACATACGATGTAATCCACTTGCCACATCAGACCTTAATTCATCATGTTGAGTATTTACTCCAGACACGAGAAATGTCAAATGGGAACCTTTGTGGGGTAGGGTAATCTGAGTGGTGCCACTAATTACACCTGTTACAAATTCATTGACTGACCATCAAGTGAATGATGACAAATAACATGTGTGGGTTTACAACCAAGCAAGGGATTCAGCAAGAGAGTAGTAATCGCTGTATTGCATCCAAGTTTGATTGCCTGAAAAATATCATGGGCCGGATGGGAACTGAACTTCATTATTGCATAATCATTTGCCGTGTACTTAGTTAAAAATTGTTATTACCTATTTACCCAAGTATATTTTCAGATTTTTCTAACAATGGCAAAGTGGGGTTGTTTAGTTTACGGATTCAAATACATCAAATGTGTGTTTTTAATATCACAGCAGGAAATATACATAATATTTTTACATAACATGATTAAATATCGAGGTAAAAACACAGAAATAGGATCAAATTGGCTCAGTCACTATACCATCCAAGCATTATAAAATCTGAAAAATCCTATATTATATAATATTCCAGCTATATGGCGGCGGTCTGTAACTAATCGAGTCCGGACCAAACAATCAAGTGATCAACATCATGAGCATCGATCTACAGGCTCGCTGACACCTCATCGTATCCCAACTGTGTAGGTCGATGCACTGGATTGTCTGGTCCAGACTGGATTATTTACAGACCGCCGTCATTCAGCAGGAATATTGCTGAGTGCGGCGTAAAACAACAAACAAATAAACAAACGCTGCCAGAAGCTGGTAACATTTAGGTTACTCTCGTGTCTTGCATCAAGATCGGACCTGTGTATTTTTCTCTCGATTTCAGTGATGTAATATTAACAGTGGGTAGGGGAGTTGATATAGAGTTATTTAGTGTGTTAAGTTGGAAGGGTGGCCAACTCAGCAATATTCCAGCTATATGGCGGCGGTCTGTAAATAATAGAGTCTGGACCAGACAATCCAGTGATTGAGCAAAAGCATCGATCTACGTAACTGGGATACGATGACATGTGTCAACCAAGTCAGCAAGCCTGACCACCCGATCCCGTTAGTCGCCTCTTACGACAAGCATGGGTTACTGAAGACCAATTCTAACCCGGATCTTCACGGGTCACGTAGGCAAGGGAGAAGAATGTAGGTTTTGATAATGGAACAGACGGATTTTGTGATAAATTGAATTAAAACTTCCTCCTCTGTTTTGTCTTTAATTAAAAAAGTGAAACCGCCAGGAACCTCACATGACAAGTAGGGAAAAAATACAATACAGGGAATAAGAATGAAAACACTACACAGTTCAGACCATCACAGTTCTTATCTGACCTTTGCTATAAATAATCTTTGTTCTATTGTCACTGGGCACCGAAAAACTGTGCGCGCACATTACAATTTAAAAAGTGTCTCAAACAATTTAACTGGACAGTGGGCTTATCAGTTTTTGTCCCGTCTATCCAGGCAGGTTGTTGCACTCGATATATACAAAAAGGCCCCTACATCTATAGGATCACAGATTATCTCTATCGATTTGTTTCAGTGTTGCTATTTGCAGGAGTTATGACAATGTATATGTTAATTCCTGAAACGAACTCACTGTTTCTCGCAAAATGACAATGGAATAATTACATTTCGTTTGAATGTGTTACAATGGAAGTCACAGGTGTTACAGAGATGATTTTAGATAGTTGAATCATGCATACACTGAGGTAAATATGCACGCCACTTTACTGTATCGGCTATGTGTTTTTTAATGTAAAAGTTCAGTGAGTGTCGCACTGTCAGTGTGTCGGGTCTGTGATACTTTCACCTTGTCAACGGGTCTGTGATAGTCTCTCCTTGCCCACGGGTCTGTGACAGTCTAGCCTTGTCAACGGGTCTGTGATAGTCTCTCCTTGCCCACGGGCCTTTGACAGTCTAGCCTTGTCAGCGGGTCTCTGATAGTCTCTTCTTGTCAACGGGTCTGTGATACTTTCGCCTTGTCAACGGGTCTGTGATAGTCTCTCCTTGCCCACGGGCCTGTGACAGTCTAGCCTTGTCAGCGGGTCTCTGATAGTCTCTTCTTGTCAACGGGTCTGTGATACTTTCGCCTTGTCAACGGGTCTGTGATAGTCTCTCCTTGCCCACGGGCCTGTGACAGTCTAGCCTTGTCAGCGGGTCTGTGATAGTCTCACCTTGTCAACGGGTGTGTGAGTCTCTCCTTGTCAACGGGTCGAGGACAGTCCCACCTTGTCCACGGATCTGTGACAGTCCCACCTTGTCCACGAATCTGTGACTGTTTCACCTTGTCAACGGATCCGTAACAGTCTCACCTTGTCAACGGATCTGTGACTGTCTCACCTTGTCAACGGGTCTGTGACAGTTTCACTTTGTCAATGGATCTGTGACAGTCTCACCTTGTCAACGTATCTGTGATAGTCTCACCTTGTCCACGGATCTCTGACAGTCTCACCCTGTCAGTGTGTCTATTACAAATTCAGAGTAAACATTGACAGTGGCAGGAAAAGCCGGTGTGGGGAGGAATTCTGTGGGGAAGATGGCAAGACGGCTGAGTGAGATCTACAGCTGTATATGGGTCTTCAACCAGATGTTAATTTCAGCTGCAGCTGGGGGTGAGATTCACGTGAAACCAAACATTGTCCTCATACTGGCTGATGATTTAGGTGAGATTTTATTCTGGATGATGATTTAGGTGAGTATTTTATTCTGGCTGATGATTTAGGTGAGTATCTTATACTGGCTGATGATTTAGGTGAGTATCTTATACTGGCTGATGATTTAGGTGAGTATTCTATTCCGGCTGATGATTTAGGTGAGTATCTTATACTGGCTGATGATTTAGGTGAGTATCTTATACTGGCTGATGATTTAGGTGAGTATTCTATTCTGGCTGATGATTTAGGTGAGTATCTTATACTGGCTGATGATTTAGGTGAGTATTCTATTCTGGCTGATGATTTAGGTGAGTATCTTATACTGGCTGATGATTTAGGTGAGTATTTTATACTGGCTGATGATTTAGGTGAGTATCTTATACTGGCTGATGATTTAGGTGAGTATGTATCTGCAGGTGACATGTATAATAGCCCTCTGTGGTTTTACCAAACACTTTCTGGATAATCATGTTTTGGAAATTTGTAAAGTGATAATTTTACTGTCATTGAGCAGTTATATGAATCAGTTATATGTACCCAGTAAATAAACTCCAAAACAGCATGTCAGGTGTCTTTTTGTGAAGAGTATAATATCACTATGTTATCTCCTGTAGGATGGAACGATGTTGGCTACCATAACCCCAGCATGAAGACGCCGAACATCGACCGCCTGGCAGCACAAGGCGTCAAGCTGAACCAGTCCTATACACAATCTATCTGTACACCGTAAGTACAGCGATGTAGAGAGTTGAACCAGTCCTATACACAATATATATGTACACCGTAAGTACAGTGATGTAGAGAGTTGAACCAGTCCGATACACAATCTATATGTACACCGTAAGTACAGTGATGTAGAGAGTTGAACCAGTCCTATACACAATCTATGTGTACACCGTAAGTACAGTGATATAGAGAGGTGAACCAGTCCGATACACAATCTATGTGTACACCGTAAGTACAGTGATGTAGAGAGTTAAACCAGTCCTATACACAATCTATGTGTACACCGTAAGTACAGTGATGTAGAGAGTTGAACCAGTCCTATACACAATCTATATGTACACCGTAAGTACAGTGATGTAGAGAGTTGAACCAGTCCTATACACAATGTATGTGTACACCGTAAGTACAGTGATGTAGGGAGTTGAACCAGTCCTATACACAATGTATGTGTACACCGTAAGTACAGTGATGTAGAGAGTTGAACCAGTCCTATACACAATCTATCTGTACACCGTAAGTACAGTGGTGTAGAGAGTTGAACCAGTCCTATACACAATCTATCTGTACACCGTAAGTACAGTGATGTAGAGAGTTGAACCAGTCCTATACACAATCTATATGTACACCGTAAGTACAGCGATGTAGAGAGTTGAACCAGTCCTATACACAATATATATGTACACCGTAAGTACAGTGATGTAGAGAGTTGAACCAGTCCTATACACAATCTATCTGTACTCCGTAAGTACAGTGATGTAGAGAGTTGAACCAGTCCT